AGAAGAAAGGAAGGAAAGAAAAAAAGAAGAAAGGAAGGAAGAGAAAGACAGAAAAAAGAAAATGAGAGAGAGAAAAGGAGGGAGAAATAAAGATAGAGAGAAGAAGAGAGAGAGACAAAGAAGGAAAGAAAGAAAGAAAGAAAGAAAGAAAGAAAGAAAGAAAGAAAGAAAGAGACTCTTCTGTTGGCTTCATTGCCTGGCAAGGCACTTGAGGGCGATGGGGTGATTTGAGGACACCAGAGCCCTTTTGGCGGCTGGAGTAGCAGAGCCGAGAAAGGCAAAAGCTTTCAGCAAAAGCCAAAGCGCTTCCTCTGCCTCTCGCCCCCAACCTCCCCTGGGCTTCAAAGGGAAAAAAAGGGGAGAGACCTCATCAAGGGGCCGGTGCTCGGCCTTTTAACTAGTCCTAAGAGAGCAACCCAGGCTCTCCCAGCTTCTTCTCCTGCCCTCCAAAGCCGCGTCAGACACCCTTGTAAGGGGACAATTTAACGCTCAGATGCCAACGGACCCCGTCGCTTGCTTTCTTGGAAACGAAGGCTCCGGGCAACAAGGTGGCCTCCTGGAAACTAGGACAGGTCCAGCCGAAAAAAACCCATTCTGACCTCTCGGTTTGACAGTTGAGCAAGACTTTAAACCTGCCTCTCTTCCCTCTTCCCAAACTGCTTTTCATCTGTCATGGAGGTCACCGAGAGGCTGTTTTCAAAAGCCCGGCATGGTTAGTTTCCACCGATTGTTTCTTATCTTGCCTTCAGGTGCTTTGGAGAACAGCTCGATTCCCTCTTCTTTGTGGCGGCCCCTCAAATACCGGAAGACTCCTATCATGTCCCCACTAGTCCTCCTTTTCATTAAATTAGACGTACCCAATTCCAGCAATCGTTATGTCCATTTGTCCAGTCGTCTTTGTTGCTCTTCTCTTTCCAAAGTCTCAACATCATTTTTACAACCATAGTGACCAAAACTGGATGCAGTATTCCAAGTGGAGTCCTAACAAGGCCTTATCAAGTGATATTAAACGCTTCATGCGATCTTGGTTTGATCCCCGTTCTGACCTAGGCTTCCTGAGACTGTAACAAGCACACGCTTAGTCCCCAAAACCCTCTTTTTTAATTCAACAGCTGTGAATTATGTTCATTCACAGCCTGTAATGAGTCACAAGTAGTTTGTAAAGAGTCCGACAGAAGTCTGCCAAAGTCTTTCGGGATAAGGCTGATAAACACTCACCTTGATCTCCCTTGAAACGCTGCCAAAGACCTAATTGGCAATCAGCTTGGCAAGGCCACAGAGAGCAGTGTGTCAAAACGGAGCTTCAGAGTTTAAACCGACCACAATGAACTTCCTGTAAAGGCTCACGTCCGTTTGCTCCTTTTTTATGTCCTATGGGAGGGGCCAATAACCTCCGAGCCTTATTTGCGAGTCATCCCTTTTGTCTTAACTGTTCTTGCCTTCTGGCAGCTCTGTGCATGCGTGCACTGGGAACAGGCTCCCCCTGTTCCTCTTCCTTGCTAGTGTCCGACTCTGGAGGCTCCGGAGGCAGCACATAACTCCCAGATGGCCCTGGCCCCCTCTCTGCCTCCAACGCACACCGCTTGTCCGAGCCTTCCCCAGACTCCAGGACTGGCCCATCTTCCTCCCCAACCTCCTCACTGTCCGACACTGCTGCCAGCTCTGCAGGCTGCCGGTGGACCACAACGCCCTCTGCTGATGCAGCCGAGGACTGCGTGGGACCCATGGCACAACTCCAAGGCTGCCAAATTAAGACACAGCTGGAAACGGAGGGCCCCAAGGGTGCATTAGGCCAGAGACAACAGTCTGACGGAGCAAACCTCTGGCCAGCGGTTCTCACCTGGCCTTGGCATGAGGCTGATGTGAAGTTGGTCAAAGACTGGAAGAAAAAATACAATTTTGTTTCTATTTGGAAACCACTTTCAGGCTTTGTGCTTGTGGTAGGGGGGAAAACGGAAACACAATTGTGGGTTTGGCTGATTAGATGGGCTTGTGATAGAAAATGGCGTATCTGATTGAGGCTGAGGCTGTTATTACTTTATTCCACTGTGCCAAAAGGAGTCAAAAAGTGCTTTTTCTTCTTCCCTTTACCCTACACATTTTCCTCGTCCCCTATTTTCCCATTTTTCTTTGTAGTCCGTATTTTGAACCCACCCTCAACCCAGCCACGGGGAAGCCCAAAGTCTTTCCAATGAAGCTGAAGGGAAACGAAACATTTCAAAGAAAAAGATGGGATTGATCAATAGAGTAGTTGTAGCTCAGGGTCGAAACGGGGGGGGGGGGTCCTTGGTGCTGAGCTTGGTGGGTTTTCTTGCAGGCGTTTCATTACCAAAATAGGTAACGTCATCAGTGCTACCACCACCACCCCTAGCACTGATGATGTTGCCTAGTTTGGTAATGAAACGCCTGCGAGAAAACCCACCAAGCTCAGAGAGCACCAAGGGTCCTAAAGGTAAAGGTTCCCCACGTACGTCGTTCCCGACTCTAGGGGGCGCTGCTCATCTCCGTTTCAAAGCCAAAGAGCCAGTGCTGTCAGAATACGTCTCCGTGGTCATGTGACCGGCATGACTCAACGCCGAAGACGCACGAAGTACTGTTCCCTTCCCACCAAAGGTGGTGCCTATTTTTCTACTCGCATTCTTTCGTGCCTTGGAACTGCTCAGTTGGCAGAAGCTGGGACACATCACGGGAGCTCACTCCATTACGCGGCGCTGGGGATTCGAACCACCAAACTGCCCACCTTTCTGATCCACAAGCTCAGCGTCTTAGCCACCTTTAAGGGACCCAAGGACCCAACAGGTGGGTTAGTATCAACTTGCATGTCCTAAACCCACAAGGCAGTGGCGGGTTCTGGGCGGTACGGCTGTTACTGGTAGTAAGCTTGAGCAGCGGCCACCATACTCATTTGGCCCACCCGCCCGCTCGGATTCCTTGCCCGTTTTTGAAGCAACCAGGCCAATTGCGCACACAAACACAACGTGCGGCGCCTGTGCAACCTCCACTGAGCCGCTGGGTTTTGCAAGGCGGTGGGTGGTGTGCAAGTGTGCGTAACGCGCATGCCCGATGAGGAGGCCCAGCCCCATGCGCAGTGTACCGGTTGCGACGGGAGCCAGAACCCACCACTGCCCCAAGGGGATGAAAGGGGTTGTTTGAAAGCCCTGTGGGTCACGGTTTGCTTTGGGGCAGCCTTCCACACCCAGGTTATTCTGAAAAGAAGCTTCTCCAGAGACCGGGGTGCCGAGCAGATGTTCTACCTGTCCAGTTGAGTGTCGAAGAAACCAACCGCTTGAAACCCACTCGCCCCCAACCCCGTCACAGTTCTTCCCCGCTCAAGGTAAAAACGCGGACTCTTTTGATTTCACAAATGTTTATTATTATGGCAATGCAATTCCCCTTGCTCCAAAAAACGATAAAAATTAAAAAAAAAAGATGCTCTTGACATTGTCAACAGACAGGCCAGCCGTGGCTCAGACCGATGCACCCCACCCCCCTCCCCCCCACCCCCGAGAGCACTTGAAGAGAAGCCCCCGACCAGACTGCCAGCCTCGGCGACCCTTAAACGCTCGGATTTTTAAAATGTCCCTTCCGCACGAGCTTCGATCCCACCCTCCTCCCCCCCCCACCCCCCCAAAAAAAGAAACCCCAACACAATCCCAAGTGAAATCAATGCCAAAATTGTGCTGATCTTCTCCACGGATGCCGACGTTTGCAGAGTTCCCTCTCTTTGCAGGGGTCTTACAAGCCGAGTGTGCTCAGACCCCCCCTCTAAACCCCACAGGCTGGCCACGCCCCGAGTCTCTCTGCAGACTAAGGGGCTTCTCCCCTTGATCCCTTCCTGGGAGGAGGGGGGTGTCAGGAGGGCTAATTCTGTTGCCAAGATTCAAAATCAGGACCCATCCGCAGGCGGCTTCTTTTCCCGGGCACCGTTTCTGCGACGGCAAGTCGGGAAGGGGGGGGGGAGCCCTCCCGGAGATACAGAGCCAAGGGAACTCCTGATCTGCCCGCCACTCCAAAAGGGAAGGAGCTGGGAGGGGCCTTGGGGGGGGGGAGGCAACAGAGGGGAAAAGCCAGCAAAGAGAAAGAGAGAGGGAGAGAGAAAGCAGCCAAAGGCCGCGGTGAACGGCGGCAAGCACTGCAATGCAGGCGGGAAGAGATCAAAGCAATGACATTTTTTTCTCTGCCGATGAACAAAAGCGGGAAGGACCACCGTTAGAGACGCCCGACGTCTACGTGGCTGGAGGAAGCCCCATGCTTCCTTTTCCACGCCTAGGCAAGGCAGGGGCCAGGCCTCGAGGGCTTCCTCGCAGGGCAGGGCAGGGAAAAAACAACGGGATTTCCAGGCCTGCAAACGCCCCCCTTCTCCCCAACTTGTCGGAATAAGCTAAGCGCACGCAACGCAAGGACAAAGCGTTGTGGTATTAGAAAATGAAGACGGCGCTCGGTCCGGCTACCCCAGGTTGGAGGAAGAGTTGGGGGACTGCTGACCGTTACCTGCTGCTTTGGTTTATATACCGAGTGGGGCAAAGCCAATCCCCAACATCTTAAGAAGCGTTCCTTCGTCCTGTCCTGCATCACACTTTCTAAAGGGAAACGGGGCGAGTAGGCCAGGGTGGAAGGTTCATCTGGGTCGGTCCCTGGTTGGTTAATGGGCATGGGGTTTTTTCCCGTCCTGCAGGCAGTGACGCAAACAGCCTGGCTGGTTTTTCACTTGGCAGGGATTCGCAGTCCCCTCCCAGCATTCAGGAAAGAGCGAGAGAAGACAGCATGCAAAGGGCTCCGGGGCTGCGGAGGAGGAAGAAAAAAGGGGGAAAGAATCATATTTTTTTTAAAAGGATAAAAGGTGGAGAAAGAGAAAAGCGGGGGG